ATCATGATGCTGGACAGCTCTTGGTTCTGTGGAAATTGATGTCACCTTTATTCAAAGTGAGACTTTGGGATCCTTACATATGTTGTGTAGGTGCTTTAGAATGTTTTTAGTTTTATAGGAAAACTAATATTTATGAAAATTAAAAATTATTCAAGTCACCACAAAAAACATAAAAGATTGACCAGTAGACTTAGAAAAATAGCTGAAATCTGCTTATGGTAAAAAGGCCCAACTGTACAAAAGTCGGGTGATTGGGAAGTTCTCCCTAGGTATTTTCTGAGATCGAATATTAAGGGCTGTATGTTTATATTAAATTTTAATATATGTTCATTATGAGATGAGGCTTGTTCTACTAAAGGCTAGGAAGTGATCAAATCAGTTCACATTCAACATGTCAAAAGAAAAAGCAACAGCAGCTTTTGTTAAGTGATTCACCTTAACCTCTTCCCCACCCAGGGTCTAAACCAGCCGTGGGCAAGCGATGGCCTGGCGGGCCGGATCCAGCCCGTTTGAATTGAATAAAACCAAAAAAAAAAAAAAAAAAAGACCGTACCCTTTTATGTAATGATATTTACTTTGAATTTATATTAGTTCACACAAACACTCCATCCATGCTTTTGTTCCGGCCCTCTGGTCCAGTTTAAGAACCCATTGTGGCCCTTGAGTCAAAAAGTTTGTCCACCCCTGCTCTAAACTAATTCAGAAATAGAGAAGAGGTAAGTGGAGCATGAAATATGATCTCTATTAGCGATAAAGCTGAAATCAGAGAATGAGGCTTATCTACTACATATATAAAAGCCTAAGCGACCGAACAACCAGAATGACAGGTCAACTGGTCGCTATGACACACACTGACCACCAGGGGCAGATGCTCAACACAGGAGCTTCCCCCTGGTGGTCAGTGTGCTCCCACAGTGGGAGCACTGCTCAGCTGACTGACCCATCCTGGTAGCCCACCAGCCCTGCAGCAGCCACTCCCTCCCTCAGTAGTCCTGCAGGTCTAATCTCCAGAGAATGGGCCAGGCACCAACAGACCAGCACCACCTGCAGGATCAGGACAGCGAGTCCAGCCTCCTGGAAGTTGACCTCAGGCACCACAGCCACATCCCCTCCCTAGTCACTCCTCAAGGAAGAAAGGATATAACAATGGCCGCCAGGTGGCCCCTGACAACCAGTGTGAACATCAGCGGGATGGATCCGGATCCCAGGCTGGCAAGGGCATCCCACCGCCTGCCCGGAGGGC